ATATAGCTAGTTAAATTTCCTAATTCCAGATAGATAGAGAGTTCATTCTAGCTATCTGTAATTTATATTATTTATATACCAAACCATCTAAAAGCGCCTAATTAATATAGATATAAATGTTAAAAATAGGCTTTTAGTTATAATTTAATTAAGAAATATTAAAGGGATAAAAGGCCTTCAGGACTCTGTAGGTATGTTGTAAATAATATATTGAATATTGTTCTTCCTTTCATTACTCCCTGTGGGCGAATCCCCTTTCATTATGCATTTAGTCTTGGTCTCCCCCTCTTGCGATTCATCTGCATTGCTGGAACAGCATCAGGGACAAAATGAACGCCGTTGCTATTCCTCGGTCTTGATCTGGCATGTAGCTTTCGATGGGCGTTTAGATTATCCGATCGGTTAAAAGTATTCTTTCCGCAGAATTCACAAGTCAGATATTCAGTACTTTTCTCATGTTTCCTGTACATCTTTAAGCCACTGAGCATATATGTTGTTTGGTCAACTTACGTTCTGTAGTGCCGTGTGGCATGCTCCTTGCGTGCAAACGTCTTATTGCAACCTTCTCCATAGCATGGATAGCGAAAGCCATCTTCAATGTTATTGAACATGAAAGGATGACTCGGATTTGCATTGGCTAGTAGAGGTCAGTAGAAGTACTGCTGCCTAGAGTGGGCAAGACTCACTTTTCGTATTGGACTCGGATTTTGAAGACTGATTAGCATCGGGCTGAGAGGATGAGTCACGTTCAGCCAGTTCAGCATCCTTAGTTATTGTGATATCAGCTGTTTCATGGCCAATGCTAGGCGATGATTGACAGTTGTCATATTGAACTGAGTTACTGTCTGGATTCCAGGCTCTTGGAGTGGAATCTGTGTCTAATATGTGGGGCGTATGTGTCATACAGGACTGAAAGGATCCAGCGTGACATGGAGGGAGATCCATGTAAGCCCCAAAAGCGACACCAGGACCGCCATTTGGACCGTTTTCAGGGCTTAAGATCAAGTCAGAATTGGTATTTGCATGTACCGGCATTGGAGGATTATATGGAGTCGACGAATATAGATTCAAATCCGAGGTTGTGATTGTGTTATAATAAGGGGGCAGTAGTTCCGCTTCGGCATAATACGCGGCGCGATTCGAGACCATGCACATAGAAGTGCCTGCAAAGCTTCTGAAAGGGTCGTTAGTCTTTCTGTGTGCATGCAGGTCAGAGTTCGCCCGTTACACTCACGCATGCAAGAGTGGATAAGAATAGGCCATGTCTAGCTCAGGTGACATGCGGCTGACATCCTGTTCACAGAAGATGAGATCTGACGCTTTAGGGTCGAAATAGGCGCTGCCTTGTCCATCCATGGTTTCGAATAATAATAAGGAGAGACATCAAGTAGGATATGATGGAGATGTATGGTAGAGGTAGGGCAATCCGTCATGTTTTTAAAGATTTGAACTACGACAAAGCCCGGGAAGCTGAGCTGTGGAATAGAGTTTTCTAAACACAGCCACTTTGGGTTAGTCGGCTATCGGTACCCGGTAGCTTCTCCCGTCGTGTCATGATTTGCAGGATTAGGGACCACCCCACCGATAGATCTCGGTGAAGTTGGTGCCCTGACAGAAATACTGACTACCACGCAGATCATGAGCTTGGGGCAGACCAGACTGCATGTCTAACATGTACCCATTACGCTACATCACGGTCAGCGCCGATTGAAAACACCAGATAGGATCCGCAGTGGAGTTGCAGGCTGCTTATGGTAAAGGGCAGGGGAAAGCTTGCTCCGTAGTGCGAGGGAGCCTTTCGACATTATTGATGATCCTTGGCACTAGGGCAACAGATCTCGGGTTAGCGCCACTACCAATAAACGGGGATTACCATGCCACACTCCCATGGTTCAGTATGTCATTTCTCACATTTCTCATTGACAGTGTTTTTCCCGAGAGACATGACATTTCGCGGCACTCGGGGTCTGCCGAAGAGGCACATCGTATTGAACCCTGTCAAGCTGGAATAATGGGCAGCGTTGAGTTTCATGATCTTACGATCAGAGACTTCGAGGGCTAGTGGTACGGACAATAAAAGAAGCTAAAAGAAGTCTCAGATCAGACTACATCCGAATGCTATCGTCTATGACGTTTTCGACTCACGAGCTTCGACTGACTACACCAGTTGAATATAGCAAAATAGGTTAATGTTCACTTTCCAGCATCCCGCCCGGTACAGGGTTCAGACGATCAGATTGAGATTAAACGGCAATTACTGAGATCTAACCGTTACGGTCTTGGTGGCGGTGACTACGTACCTTGCAGGGCGAGACCAAAAAGGCTTAGTCTGTGGAGAGTCTGTCTTACACGAAAGGTAAAGCGAGATTCCTGTTTTGGGTTCACGATGCTCACTGGCCCCTGTTGCTGCACCTCAAAGTGTACTAGCCGAAGTAGGTACCCCACGACTATTCCATTGTCCGCGGCCGCCCCACGCCACAAATCAACCTCACAGGGGTAAGTCTTCAGATGCAAGCAAGCATCTCACCTGTCAGGCAATCCCGAGGAACCCATTAGCCAGATGACGCGTATGATCCTTGGCACTAGGGCATTAGATCGAGGGTTGGCCACAAAGGCGATAAACTGGGGTTGGTAGTCAGCAAATCAAACTCACAAAATTAGCGATACTACTTATCACTGCTAATCTCAGTGGAAATTTAAGTACTATAGATACTGCAGGTTTGCAAATGAGTACTTTGATTCTCACCAGATTCTGCCCGAGCTATAAGTACTTCTGCAAATTAATCAGCTGCCACTCAATACTGGAGCAGATTCTACTTGAGAACGGTTTATCTGCTCAACAGGTTCCCAAGAGATCGACTCGAATAGAGCCGAGACTACGGCATAGACCATCAGTGATTTGAGATTCAACGATTGGCTGTCGAGGCGCGTGGCTAATATAAGAGCCCCGGAGCGCCCTCCAACTTCCCGACAACATGAACTTTTTCAAATCACATTACGTTATGTCATATCTGCAAAGTCTTCTGTCTCTTTTTCGTACCCAAAGAGGCAATCATCGGAGACTTGCGTTGCCAGCACCATTGGAGACTTACGTTGCCAGCACATTTATCTATTAAAAGTGAATCATGTATTGACAAGAATCTTTTCAGGTGAAAAGCATACATAGAATTGAAGGTTTTCTCAACGGGCAGAACTATCTGGGATATAGAGAAGCGAGGTCTAATAGTTATTGCATCATCTATACCCCATGCGTCAGTTGCGAGGCTGTTTCGCATCCACTCCGAAAGAACGTTTTAAGCAGACAACGCTCCTTGATAACAGCCACCCAAATCTGACGGGTCGACGCAGAACTAGAGATGAATCATCATCGGCACGAAACAGGCCAAGATTCCAGCCATGATTATTGCGTTACCCCTGACGTTGCTTTCAGAACTTGAGGCCCCAGAAGCAACCACAGGTACCTCGGGGGTCTCCGAGGTCTCTGAGGTTGTGCCTGTAGCTGTGCTGTGCTGTCCTGTAACCGAACTAGCTTGACCCGAAGCGATATGGTTTGGCTCGGAGCTACCGTTGCTGGCACTGGCTCCTGCGCCGACAGCTGGAACAGTCGTGGGTTTGACAGCCTGAGTAGCGCCGCTGGCCTCGCCAGCATGGGAACCCGCTCCAGCTTGAGGGGCATCTGACTTTTTGGCTGTGTTTTCATTGGTTCCAGCCGAGGGACTCTCGGCGGATCCATGGGACACGGAGACGTGGGGGCCAGAGCCAGGGATGACGGAGGAAGCCGACGCTGGCTGGCTGTATTGTTCAGGAACATTGCCGTTACCACCAGTCATGAGAGCCGTTGGCACAGCGGGTGAACCTGCAGAGCACATGGTTGTCGTTATAACCGAAAGTACAGTGGTTGTGGCGCAGTTGGCAGGCAACTTGCTGCCGAGAGCCATATCTCCATTGAGGAGACAGGCGAGACAGAATAGTGACCAGTGCTTCATGGTCAAAAAGAGAGGGTTTGGGGCTTAAACGAATGAGTCTTTGAAAAGATAGATGCGGTTTACAAAGAATGCCCTTGGCGAGGAACTGCGCAGGTTCGACAGGTCTTATTTATATCGAGTTCAGATTTCTACAACAAGGCTCACATCAACCCTTGAATGACCATGCATATGTTATTTTACGACCAGTGAATGAGAACATTTTTCGAGTATCAGTCATGGTGCCCAGTCAGAGCATGGCTCGCAAGTTCGGCCCCATCCAATTATAGCATAGCCTGAAGGGCGACCTGCTAACTCGGTGCCCGAGGTGGATCACTAAGGCAGTGTACGGACCCCTTGGCCACCCAAGGGATAACAAGGTCTGCGTGTGCTTGGTCAAAGACCTGGATTCAAAAGGTCGATGCTAGAAATAGATTGTCATAGTGGGGGGACTTTTGATTAGATGATCGCGTGGAGCGATGTCCACAGTAAAATCTTACTTCTACAGTTGCTACTAACAGACATACCAGAGCGAATAGAGGAGATACGTCGCATTTCACCATGAAGTTTACGATAGCTACATCGCCAAAAAATCTTGGAAACTGATCTCAGCTAAACAGTGATCCTCCCTTTGATACTGGGGGATTTCCCCTTAGAGATGTAGATCGCGGAAGCATGACGATCCGGGGAAGACGAGACGTCAGCATATCGGGTTTGCCAGAGCGCTAGTAAACCTAAATTTGGCCCTTGTACTGCAGTGAATAGAGACGCACTGGGCTATCCCTCGCTGGTAAGGGCTTTAGCAAGAACTACTCATCAGCTATGAGCAACACAGTGATCTCACAACAGGGCACATTGCTGAATATGGAATGTCTTCATGTTTTCTTTCCTTTTGGTAATTGAGAACAGTTGAAATTTCTGTATTTATACAAGAAAGTATTCGCTCAAAGGTCGAATGCCCAAACACAGTTCATTCACTCGTTTTATCTCATTAGTTACTAACCCTTTGCCTTCTCTCACCTCGACTGTCTTCAAGTCATGCGCCCTTTGTCCTCGTTCGCGGGGGGAGCAGCTATTTCCCTCGGCCTGGCCAGCAGCGTCTTCGCTGCTCCCGGGCTAAAGGCCTGTCTCCCTGACGACGGCATCGAAGTTGTAGAGCTCCAGCCTGTCGAAGTCATTTGTGATGGCAAAACGCTCACCAGCACAATCACTCGGTAAGAATGCGATACATTTATGTTACAATCTCAACTAATGACTGACAATCTCAGGCACTACACCGAGTACCCAGGGTCCTCTAAGTTCCCGAGTGACCTGGGAGGATCTGGCTCGCCCGATTCCCCCACGGCCCCGGGGTCCCCTGTCCCTTCAGGAAAAGAGCTTCCCTGCAAGGACTGTGTGACTATCACGACCACTGTTGACACTCCTTTCTGTACTACAATTCCTCCCGCTACCAAGGGAGGTCCCTCAACTGTTATTACTGGTGTTGCTCCTCCATGTGAGGATTGCATGACAATCACCACTACTGTTCCCTTTCCTTTCTGTACTACCATTCCCCCGGCTACCGAGGGTGGACCTTCAACTGTCATTACTGGTGTCCCTCCTGTATGTGAGGGCTGCGTTACTGTCACCAAGCCAGGACCAACTTCTTATATCTCTTATATCCCTCCTGCCTCTGATGGCGGCAAGACAACACTAGCAATATGCCCTGGCCCAGTCACGGTAACTGTGACCGCCAAGGTACCTGCTTCTACCTTTGTGAGCGCTTCATCTGGCTGCACCTACTGCACGGCCACACTGATTGTGCCTCCGGTTCGCACAACCCTGACCCATACTGGTCCTGTTCCTGGCACAGCTACTATCCCAGCTTCTGCTGGTTGCACCAAAGGCTGTGGAGGTACTGTCGTCGTTACAGTTACTCCTGGACCTAAACCAACTGGTCCTATTGTAACATTGACTACTACTGGCCCTATACCTGGCACAACCACAATCCCCCCTGCCTCAAGTTGCCCAACATGTGAGGGTACTGTTGTCGTTACAGTTACTCCTGGACCTAGACCAACTGGTCCTATTGTAACATTGACCACTACTGGCCCTGCCCCCGGCACAGAGACTATCCCTCCTGCGACAGATTGCTCTAAGTCATGCACTACCACCATTCGGGTCACCTCAGTCCCCAGCCTGTCAAGCACAGGTCGATTGACAACGATCACCACAACCGGTTCTGTGCCTGGTACAACCACAATCCCCCCTGCCTCAAGTTGTCCAACATGTGAGGGTACTGTAGTCGTTACTGTTCCTCCCGCTTCTTTAACAACGATTACCACAACCGGTTCTGTCCCTGGTACAACCACAATCCCCCCTGCCTCTAATTGCCCTACTTGTGAGGGTACTGTAGTTATTACGGTTCCTCCAGCTTCTTTCACAACAGTCACAACCACTGGCACTGTCCCTGGTACTACTACAGTACCTCCTGCCTCTGATTGCCCTACTTGTATAGGCACTGTTGTAGTTACGGTCCCTCCACCTTCTTTCACAACAATCACTACAACCGGTTCTGTCCCTGGTACTACTACAGTTACCCCAGCTTCAAGCTGCCCTACCTGTATAGGCACTGTTATAGTTACGGCCCCCCCTGGCTCTTTCACAACAGTCACTACAACCGGTTCTGTCCCTGGTACTACTACAGTTACCCCAGCTTCAAGCTGCCCTACCTGTATAGGCACTGTTATAGTTACGGCCCCCCCTGGCTCTTTCACAACAGTCACAACCACTGGCACTGTCCCTGGTACTACAACAGTACCCCCTGCCTCCAATTGCCCGACCTGTGAAGGCACTGTGATCATCACTTCGGTTCCTCCAGCGTATACAACAACTACCAGTTTCGGTTCAGTCACTTTGCCTACAACAACTACTCTGACTAATACTGGAACCGGGACCAGAACCGTTGTGGTTATTGTGCCTACCCCTTCAAAGCCCGTCGTAACTATCACATCCACCACAGGTACAGTACCTTCAGCGACTACCATTATAGCTACTGGAACCACTGGAACTGACACTGTTATTACCTTCGTTCCCTCTGCGCCTGAACCTGTTAGGCCAACAACAACTATTACATCTACTGGTACAGGCACAGTACCTTCAGCGACTACCATCACAGCTACTGGAACCACTGGAACTGATACCGTAATTACGTATATTCCAGCAACTACTGAGCCAATTGCTACCAGGCCAACTACAACTATTACATCTACTGGCACAGGCACAGTACCTTCAGCAACTACTATTATAGCTACTGGAACCACTGGAACTGATACCGTAATTACGTATGTTCCAGCAACTACTGAGCCAATTGCTACCAGGCCAACTATAACTATTACATCTACTGGTACAGGCACAGTACCTTCAGCAACTACCATCACAGCTACTGGAACCACTGGAACTGATACCGTAATTACGTATGTCCCAGCAACTACTCCTGAACCTATTAGGCCAACTACAACTATCACGGTCACTGGCACAGGTACAGCACCTTCGGCGACTACCGTCACAGCTACTGGAACCACTGGAACTGATACCGTAATTACATATGTCCTAGCAACTACTCCTGAACCTATTAGGCCAACTACAACTATCACGGTCACTGGCACAGGTACGGCACCTTCAGCAACTACCATCACAGGTACTGGAACCACTGGAACAGACACTGTCATCACCTTCGTTCCACCGGCTCCTCAGACCACAGTCACTATTACATCCACAGGAACACGAACTGGCATTACGACTGTCCCGCCTGCGACCTCTGGTGATCCACCAACTGTTATCATCTTTACCACGATTCCATTCAGTACGGTTTCTGTCACCTCGTCCTCAACCACTCAACCCGGTGGGGTCACAACTCTAACATCTACGGGCACGACTACAGGACTCACAACCATACCTCCTGTCGTCAGTAATGGCACTACTGTTGTCATTACATTTGTTACGCCTTCAGCTACTTCCCCTTCTAGCAGTTTATCTGAGGCGTCAACCACTTCATCTGAGGCGTCAAGCACTTTATCGTCAACCACTTCGTCTACGTCTAGGTCGTCAACCACTTCATCATCAACCACTTTATCGTCAACCACTTCATCATCAACCACTTTATCGTCAACCACTTCATCGTCAACCACTTCATCGTCAACCACTTCATCGTCAACCACTTCATCGTCAACCACTTCATCGTCAACCACTTCATCGTCAACCACTTCATCGTCAACCACTTCATCGTCAACCACTTCATCGTCAACCACTTCATCGTCAACCACTTCATCGTCAACCACTTCATCGTCAACCACTTCATCGTCAACCACTTCGTCTACATCTAGGTCGTCGACTGCTACATCTACCACCAGTACTTCAACCAGCACGACGCGCTCTACTACGAGCTCCACCACTACACGCCCTACCACTGTTTTCACGACTATTACTCTGGCTACCACAAGTACTGGGCTCACAACCATTGGTACTGGTAGTACTCGCACTGTCATTACATATGACTGTACTGTCACTCAAACCCGCTCAGTCTCGGCGACTAATACAAACTCGGCTGCAAACACTTTTATTGTACCAGCCTGCGCTACGGCGATGCGTTTCATTGTTGCAGGCGGTAAAGGTGGAGCTCCTGTTATTAATGGTGTAGAGGCCGACAACGGTGCTGCTGGTGCTCAACTATCGGGAACAGTATCTGTCACACCGGGACAAAGCGTGGTGCTTTTGGCAGGTGGAAGGGGGGGAATTGGCCGGACTTCTGGGGTCAGTCCCGGTGGAATTGGATATGGTACAGGCGGTACTGCCACGGACAGCGCTGGTGGTGGTGGTGCGGGATCGTCCTTGACACTGAATGGCAGGCTACTTGTTGTCGCTGGTGGTGGTGGCGGGGGAGGCAGGTATACAGACCTTGCCGATACCAATCCTCAAACTGTTACCTACTCTGGTGACAGTGGCAAGGGCGGAGGCTTCAATGGTAACACTGCTTACATCTCGTTAAGGGCAACTCCTAACCAACACACTGTCACTATTCAGGGTGGTCGAGGAGGTGGCGCAAGTGCCCCCGGCGCCGGAGGAACTGTTAGTGGAAGTCCCACCTTATCTACCAACGGTGCTCCCGGCAGTGGCATGAACGGTGGTAATGGTAGACCAGGTCTCGGGACCACAAATCTAGGGTCTGGAGGAGGTGGATCTGGTTACTACGGCGGTGGCAGTGGAGCTGTTGCCCAGAAAACAGTCGGCACAAATCCACCAGCCGCAGCAGGTGTTCAAGGTGGTGGTGGTTCTAACTACCTCGCCAGCGGAGTGACTGCTACAAGCAGTATAAATGACCGACCTGGCTTTGTCACTGTTGTCTTCTTTGGCTAGATAGACTTTTTTCTACAGCTTCTTCTTCTTCTTTTATCTATCAGATAGATACTTCTAGAGAGTACAGGGGTTATCAATTTCATTACATTTATTTGTTTGAGAATACTGTAGAACACGCTGGGACATATATAAGTTGCTCGTTATATAATAAATATGTTCCTTTTATATACCTTTAGAGCCACGATTTAACCATAAAACATATCTCTACTTTCGCCCTAGCTCCTCACTAGGTTGTGTGCTTATAGAAATCACACGAACTCGAATTATACATTGAACAAGGTATGGCCGACCGTCACCCTTGCCTGTCCTGAACTTCCTCCCAGCGCCCCTTAACAGTCTAGTCACCAGATCTCTCTCCTGGCATCTCTAGGTGCTGTGTTGATCATCCTTATAGTGGTCAGCCAGTCCACTTCCTCTAGCTCTGGTAAAGCCTCTACTTTATACTTACAGTTAACAGCTACTAAGGCTAGAATAAAGCTTATAATGCACTAAAAGTTTTTAAGTCTATATAATAATATTATATAGTAAGTATTATATTAATAGTTATTTTAATTTATATTACTGCTTTTATATTAATATTACTTTATTTAGTTTTAAATATAAAATTAATTAACTATATATTAAGGTATATATATTTAATTACTAGATTTATTATTATTTAAGTTAATTTAGCTTTTATTAATTAATTTATATTTTTTTTTTTTTTTTCCCTTACTTTTAGCCTAATAAGGCTATTAAGCTTTTAACTTTTTATCTAAAGGCTTAAATAATAAGGCCCCTATAGTAGGCCTATATTTTAAAGGTTAAAATTATATAAAGTTTATTTACTTAATAATATAATTACTGCCTTAATTAAGCAGTATTAATACCGCTTATCTCTTAACAGCTATATTAGCCTTCTTTCTTTACTATATCTAAAAGAGTATTAGGCTAAGTCTATTATACTTTTAAAGTATATTTCCTAACTTAACTTTCCCTTTATTAATTATAGCTATTAATATTAATTATAGCTATTAATATTAATTATAGCTATTAATATAATGCCTATATAAAATAGCCTATAGCTATATAATTAGGCCTATTATATAACTTATTATAACCTTAATATAGCTATTAGGCCTGCCTTATAAAGAGCTAATAGAAAAGAACTAAAAGAGATCTATATAATAATAACTACTATTAAGAAGAACTTCTTATTAAAGTATTAATTTAACTTAATTAAAATAGCTATCTTTAATTATAAGCTAATTAAATTAATTTATTATATAGGCTATTTTAGCTTAATTAATTTAAATTAAGTTAATAATAAGCTATTAAGTCTAAAAGACCTTAAAAAGGACTTAAGGGAAGGTTATCCCTTTTAGTTAGACCAGGCAGCCTTCCTTACTGCCTTTATAGGCTTAAATATATATAAAGAGTGGCTTTCTAATATAACTAAAAGGGTTATTATAGTGGAGGGGGTGCTGCTTTTAATATAAGGATAAATATAAGGTAATGGCAGGGTTTAAAGGTTCTATTAAAATTAGAATTAAAGGAATTAAGTTAACTTTTATATAAGTTAGTTAGTAAAAGTTAAATTAACCTCTACTAATTAAATATATATACCTAGGTATATAACTAATTAACCTTATATCTAAAAGCAGATAAAGTAATATTAGTAAAGAAGCAGTAGGTTAAACTGGGGCTTTTTAATCTTATAGTAGTTATTAAGTATTATATTTATAAATTTAATTTCCTTTTTAAAGTTAATTATTATTAGTAATTATATAGTAATATTTTAATTAATATTAAAAATTTTAAAAATTTTATTATCTATATACTTATAAGTGCTGCTATTTTTTATACTTTCTTTATATATTAATTAATCTTTTAAATCTTTAACTCTTTTAATATTTAAATCTATATTAATATAGCACTTAACTATATATAGTATCCTTTATATATTAAACTTTTATATTACCTTACTTCTAGCTTTTTAAAACTAACTATTAAATTTACTTTTATTTTCTAAAAGAAAATACTTATAGTTATTAATTAAAGTAATACTATCTTTATTAATTAGCTTATTAAGTATACTTATTAATAACTTTAGTCTATATATATTTTGGCTAAATTTACTTATTATTAAGGCTAGTTTTTTTTTAAGCTTATAAAAAGAAAGCCTTACTTTAAAGCCCTTTTAATTAATTCTTTTAATATCTATAATCTTAAGATATATTAAAATTATATTAATTTTTATATTTTAACTACTAGCTAGAATAATAAATGTATCTTTTAGCCTTTTTATTACTATATTTTAATTAAAGGTTTTTAAAGTAGCTAGTATTTTAACTGTATCTAAAATATAAAGGTAGATTATAATTAATATTATCTTTTTATTTATTAGGCTAATAAACCTTAATTTAATCTTTTTAAGGCTTTTTTACTAAAAAAAGATAGTATTACTTAAGCTAGTTTTTTTTAGTAAATTAAGAGATTTTACTAAATATCTATAAATTAATTAAACCTTTAATCTCTTTTAAGAATTACTAATTAATAGCCTATAATACCTTAAGATAATAAACTAAATAATATAGTAATAATAAAGAATACTAAACTTATAATTAATTAAATAATAAATAAGAAATAAGATATCTTTAAGTAGTAGAGATTTAATTTTTAATAATAGAAATATAAAATTAGGTAATTAATTAATACCTTTACTTTAAAGATATTATTTTTCTATAATAGATTTTACTTTATTTAGTACTTTTAAAGTCTATATCTTAAAAATATATAATTTTAATACTATATTTAAGAAATTTAAAATATATTCAATACTTATTTAAAATATTAAAAGCATATTTTTAATATATTTTATATATTATTTAGGCATTTAAGTAATATTTAGTTTAAATTTTATATTCTTAAGGCATATTTAGGCTAATCTATCTCTTTTAAGTTTAAACTTTACCTTTTTTATTTTAATAAAATACTAATTATTTAAAGGCTATCTTTTTTATATATTAATTAATTATTTAGTTTTAGTCTTCTATTTATAGTCTTTATAGTGCTTTTAGTTAATATCTTTCTTTTATTTTAATTATAATTTATATTTTTCCTTTAAGTCTATAGGATTTTATATTAAATTTATTTTCCTTTTCTTAATATAATTAAATATATACTTTTAGAGTTTATAAGCTTTATTTTATATTAATATTATTTTTTTTATTATTTTTTATAAGGGTAGTATTTTATTTTTTTATATTATTATTTATTACTTTCTTTTTTATTAAAAGTATATTACTATTTTTTTTTTTTTTTTACCTTACTATTAGCCTAATAAGA